AATGAGGAGGTCAAAAACCTCCTCGATCAGTTTTTTGCCAGCAAAGACCAAAAATTTTATGAGCGTGGAATTATGCTACTACTAGAAAGATGGCAAAAGGTGTTGGACCAGAACGGTCAATATATAATTTAATAAAGTATTTGTTTATTATACGAAAACTGTCTTTCTTTTCCACAAAAAAAAACGAAATGACTTTCATACCAACCCTATATATCTTAATCCTATCGCGTACTTGGATTCTGCTATTTTCCTCAAGTCTATCCCTCTTCATTTCTTCACATCCCTTTTAAGCATTTTCCCTACATTCCAACCCTTTCTTTCACATTCATTTAACTGCTCTCGATTAATTTCTAAATCTTTTAGTGCCTCGTCCCTTTCCCTCTCATACCTATCTTGTCTTCCTATATTTAATATTCTCTTTCTCCAATATTCTTGTCTGATATCCCCCTCTTGCAATTTCCCGATCTTCTCCTCATACTCTGTAGCCCTTTTAAATGTTTCTTCTAACATTTTACCACATTTTGTTTCCCTCCTCAATATGTGGTCTAGTGTGCTCTTATCTAACTGTAATAATTAGATTGTAATTATTTTTTTTAAAACTTACCTTAATCGCGGACCTTTAATCTTTTTACAAAATAAAAGTTTACTGTTGTCACGTAAATAATAATTCACATACATTATCATCCACAAGTGTTATTGATGATTGAAAACAATTTCTTTTCCCATGATCTAAGCTTTTAATTTCTGTGATGATCGTTTGAATTTTACATACTAAAATATTTAATATGTCGTAGGAGTTGCTTTACTGTTTTGTACCACATAAAAATGTTAACTTTTAAAGAAACAATAGTACAATAAGTATATGAATAATCCCATAATGGTTTGAGTATCATCATCATAAGTTCGTCAGTCCTAAGACTGGTTGAACACGCCCCTCCACTCTTTCCTATCCTGACTTAATCATCGCATTTCCCTAAAACTAGAACAACCCACATTTAACTTAACTATTTGCGAACAGTGATCTAATCCAGGTCTACATCTACCCCTTCTAACTCCGGTTTCTGCCTCTAATATGTCTCCGACTAGACCTCCATGCCTGAAAAGGTCCTACCAACCTATTTCTTATTGACTTCCTGATTGAGTCCTCTGTTCTCATATTCTTTCCAATACCTCTTCATTTCTAACCTTCTCTATCCACGGTATGCTCATCATTCGCATGTAACACCACATTTTTAACGCTTCTAACCTTTTTGAGTATAAATATCCATATTTCGCACCCCTATACAGCCGCTCTTCATACAGACTTACACCTTTAACAATCTTTTTCGAATTTCAAAACTAATCGTTCGCGAGCATAGAAGTGATTTCATTTTATTGAAGGCGACTTTACCCTGCACTATCCTCTGCTTTATATCCCTACTACTCCTTCCGTCCTGATTTATCTGACTTTCTAAATACAGAAAGTCAGCCACTTCTTCGAATCTTTCGTCACTTATCTTTACATTCGCTCTTTCCCTACCAACCTATTTCGCCTATTTCTTATTGACTTCCATAGAGTCCTCTCTTCTCCTATTCGTTCTAATACCTCTTCATTTGTAACTTTGTCTTTCCACGGTATCCTCATCATTCGCCTGTAACATCACATTTCGAACGCTTCTAACCTTTTTGAGTATAAAAACCAATTAAACATATGCGACACTTTTATTCTAAATTATTGTATTTTATTTTCAGTTGGAGTTTTACTATTTCTCCTCGAATATGGCTACTTTCCCCAAAACAAACTCGGTTACTTTTGTAAGGACCCCTCTATATCCAAGTCGTTTAATGGCGATACAATCACCTGGGTCATACTCCTGGTCGGCAGTCTTGGAGGTCCGTTGATCATTTTCTTTGTAATCGAGTATGAGGCTGAAGTCAGTTTAAGTAGATACTGTTGCCTAAGGGTATGCAAATTGTATAGGGACTTCATTATTGGTGGTACTTTTAATATTATGATCGTCGAGGTGGCCAAATCCATCGTGGGAGAACACAGGCCACATTTCATTGCCACGTGTGCTCCCAGCAAACATGAAACGTGTGAGGCCGGCTCTTATATCACCGATTACATTTGCACCATCGGTAATAAAAGTCGATACTTTGAGATCGACTCGTCTCGATCGTTCCCTTCTGGACATGCGTCTCTGTCAGTATTCGTTGGGCTTTTTTGTGCGGTAAGTTTACTTTTTTTATAATTGAAACTTCTCTCAGCGTAAAAATTTTACTCTTTCAAACTAAACTACTTAACTGAGACGCGCCTATTATTAAAATTAATTTCTATTACTCTATATGGAACTGAATCATTTTTCAGAACAACTAGATTCTTTATCAAAAAAAAAAGTACTGAAGAAGTTTGATCGTTAGAAAATTTTAAGATTTTTCCGATACTGAAGAAATAGAAAAGAATATTTTGTCTCTAGGAATATGTAACGTCAAGAAATGCTTTTATTTATTAATGTAAAATGAATATACGTATAATTAGATAAATGAATGGGTAAATTTGACGGTTATTATGGAAGAACACTGATTGTTACATTTGAATATTACTGACAAATTTACGTTATTAGGTTTCAAATTTTCCATTTTGAAATTTCAGCTATGACTATTTTATTTACTAAATTTTTGCCTTCAAATTCCATCTAAATTTAAAAGTAATGTGTGTCGAATATTAAAAAAAAATGTGTTAGCTTATTTTAGACTAGAGGATAAAAAGGACTAAGACTTTAATATAATTTTATTGTATTATTTGTTCAATTGATCCCTATTGGTTATAAAATCTAAAAGTGCTACAAAACATAGGTGTCGTTTTTAATTTTAGTGCATATATATGTAGACTTGTTGTAGAAAATTAAATTTCCTATCGAAATAACACAAAAAAATAAATGCAAAAAGCGATGTCAAAAAAATCTCAAACAGAAAAATTAATTTTCGCCTACAACTGTTTTTTAGTGTAGGCACTTCGGCATAGGGATTGATTTACAAAAACGAAAGCTTACATAGCGCCCACTAAATATTGCCTGCTAAATTATTTTGATAAAAATTGACTGAGATATAGATACAGGGTTTGTCCGGAAAGTAATAGGACTGAGTCGATGTAAGAAAATTTATTGAGTCAATCGTTACAATTCTTTAAAAACTTTCAAAATAGGCTCCTTCTGCGTCGATGCAGCGCTGCCAGCGCGATTTCCGAGCATTGAAGGCGTCGGGGAAGGCATTCTCCGGAATAGCCTTAAGAGCCGCGGTGCATGCTACTTGGATCCCCTCTGTCGTCTCAAAATGCTTGCCTTTCATCGGCCTTTACAGGCGAGCAAACAAAAAAAGTCCGGGGAGGTCACATCTGGGCTGTAGGGCGGCTGCGGAAGCGTTGGTATGCCGGCCTTGGTCAGGTAACTGTCCACAAGAAAGGCGTTGTGAGCCGGGGCGTAGTCGTGGTGCAACTTCCAGTCGGCTGCGATGTCTTGTCGGACCCGATTGACCCTTCGTTTGAGTCTCTTGAGCACTTCCACGTATAACTTGACGTTGACAGTTTGTCCAGGAGGAACAAATTCATGGTGGACGATGCCTTTCATGTCAAAAAAGACAATGAGCATTGTTTTCACTATGGATTTGCTCATTCTTCCTTTTTTTGGGCGAGGAGACGCCGGCGTGTGCCACTCGGAAGATTGCCTCTTTGTCTCGGGATCATACTCAAAGATCCATGACTCGTCACCTGTGATTACGTTATTCAAAAATTGGGGGTCACTTTCACACATGTTTAAATTTTCTTGGCACACTTCCACTCGCCGCAATTTCTGGTCGTCAGTGAGCACTTTTGGGACCATCTTCGCGCACACCTTGCGC